GCTGCATCGCAAATTCCGCACATATTCGTTTAAGCTCAGCTAAGAATTTAACTTTGTGACCTCTAGACGCTTGACAACAGATTTCAGAATAAGTCCTCTCATATGCTATGATGTGATGTGGTTTACATTCGGCAGCGGTTTTCTTAATGTTTAATAAATTTATTTTTCTTTAGCTCATCTATTGATAATATCTTGCTTTGTTTGTGCATTTTGCTTTTCTTTTAGCTAAAAAGACCACTGATACTCTTTGAATGTCTTTTTCAAGCAGCAAACTTTGAACATATTAGTTATATTAGCCTGGCACATGCCGGTGTCACTATCAACTGTGTAATTGGCTTAATTAAGAAATTTTAGGCTTTTTCCCTAAAATCTGTTCCGAACAGTTATTGCCTATGTCACAAGAACATAGTGTACAATTAGTAACCACTTCTTCCACATTTTTTGCTTGTTTTGTGCCGTTGTCTTGACTTGAATGAAAAATTCCAATGCCGCACATTGCGTACCCTTATCACTAAAACTATTTTACTTAAAACTTTTTGCTTTTCAACATGTTAATAAACGCCGTTCGGTATATTAAAGTCAGATCAGTATCAGTTAGCCGTCGAAACACGGTTCAAGAGGCCGAAAAATTATACATGTCAATTCTTGAATAAAAACTTCCGTCGTCGATTCACAAAGAGATTTCCATCTTGACGGAATCAATTCCGTACGCTGATAGCGCTGATAGCTTTGACGTTACAGCATTTATTAAAATTAAAGTGGTATTTAATCTTTCGAACGATTGGTTGTTGCCACCAAAAATGCCTTAACTAGTTAAAGATCACATAATACATAAATACCTGCTAATGGTACGTTTTTAGCGTAGCACTAAAAATCTTTCATTTTTCAGCGCTTAAAATGCCGCAATGATCATCGACACTATTGGTAGGGTGAAGTAGGTCAGGAATTCGCAATGAGCTACAGTAATCATATCACATATTTGCGACGAAGCTCGGAGTTCTTGGTACATTGCATAACGCCCAAAAACAGTTAATCTGCGAAAGATTTTCAGGCAACATTACAAACTTGTCACCTGATTGATCTCTTCTTTCTCCGTTCAAGGTTTCCCAGTATTTATCGGAAGTGATCCTCCTCGTGAGGGACTTTATCGCACTGGCATATAACATGAGCTTGTGGCCAAGGTCAGCAGTGTCTCAAATCATTAAACAACGGTAAAGTTGCAGATTGCATTACTGGGTAATACTAAACAATGAATGGGTATTAAAAACAATTCGGACCTTTCACGATGGCATAGTTTTTCCT